GCCTGCACTGCAGACCCCACAGGCACATGGGGAAGGGGCCCCTTGGGTTGGCGGGAGGTCTCTGGGGACAGTAGCTGATGGGAAAGCTGTCCACACATGCTGTTCTGGAGTTGATGCAATTAACATTAATAGGTAATATTATTTATGTGTGTAATTTCTTTAAATGTGTTTTAATAACAACAGCCTGATTGGGAAACCAGGAGGTGGCCGCTGCTCGACTACAGCATGTGGCATCCTGCAAGAAGTGAGCTCCATGTGCCAAATGTGTCAGTCATTCATTCACTCATTCACGCAACACTTTTTCTTAATTGAAGTATAGTTGATTTACAATGTTTCAGATGTACAGCAAAGTGACTCAGTTATACACACACACACACACACACACGTATATTCTTTTCCAGATCCTTTTCCATTATAGGTTACTACAAGATACTGAATGTAGTTCCCTGTGCTGCACAGTAGGACCTTGCTGTTTCTCTACTATATATATAATAGTTTGCATCTGCTAATCCCAATTTCCTAATTTATCCCTCCCCTCTTTTTCCCCTTTGGTCACAGAAGTTTGTTTCCTCTGTCTGTTAACACACATTTATGGAGCACCTACTACACGCCAGGCACTCTTCTCAGAGCTGGGGAGATGAGACGAACAAGACAGACTCAGATCCCCGACTCCACGGGGCTTTTATTCCAGCAGGGGAAAGGCAGGTCCCTAACAATTAGGGTGAAGTGTGTGCTATGCGGCAGGGCGGTGAAAGCACAGCAGGGACCAGAAAGAGGCTTGCAGCTTTAAACAGAGGAGTCAGGTAGGTGAAATGTCAGCAAAAACAAAAGACAGGAAAAAAGCCAACCCAAAAACTAAAGGCAGTGAGGGGAACATATGGATTTGGTGGTGGTGGGTAAGTCTCTGTAGAAGCCATGGCCCGTGCAAAGGCCCTGAGGCGCTGAGACAGAGAGTTTGGGAACAGCAGTGGGGCCAGGGTGGCTGGGGCAGAGCCTAGGAGGAAAAAACCAGAAGGAGATGAGGACGAGGGCAATTTTCCATGAAAATCCAGAAGTATAGAAGTTTACATGGCATCTCTCGATTTAAAAAAAGCTTGGCAAAAACTGGATTTCCTTCGAAGGCTGAGGGAAGCAGGTCTGAAGCCCACTCGGCCAGTCTGTCTGTCAGACACACTGGCCTCTAATCCCCGCTTCCCTCCTCAGCTCTGAGTTCCCTGCTCCAATGACACCAGTGGTCCCCCCAGTGCCACCCAATCCCCCAAAACACAACCCAGCCCATCACACACAAAGATGTCACAAAGCAGGCGTCTGGGGCAGCCTGCGTCACCTCCATCCTTCCTTTGAACGTGGCCTTCCAGGACAAGGACAGCCACTCCCACTGTCCCCAAACGGCCAAAACCAATGGGCAGAGGCTCCGGAGGAGGCAGAGACTGGAAGTGGCCAAGTCAAGCCCCACCTTCTGTCCCCAATCGGCATCCTCTGGGAAGGAGGAGATTTGGAGGGAGTCAGACCTGAGAGCCACTCGGGCAAGTCGGTCACCCCCGAACCTCAGTTTTCCCATCTGTACAATGGGGCCAGTGACTGCAGCCTCAGCTGTGTCTCGTTTGACCTACGTGGCACTTAAATCAAGAACAGATGAACTCATCAACAAGAACAAAAAACTGGGAGATTTAACATAAAATCTGGATTTGGGGTTCTCTTGAAAATATCAGGAGATCAGAGACTTGCCTTCAGGGGTAACGATCCTTTATTGATAAACGCATTTTCCTACCAGCTCTGGGAGTCACAAGGATCAATTTTTATAACCTGAGCATCCAATGCGTGCAAACAAAGGTGACTAGTGAACATGGTACGTACAACGCAACAAAAATGAGCATTTCCAGGGCGTGCCTGTGGGTCAGGTCTGTTCTAGACTGTTCCCTGCACTGTCACCTCCCTGACCAGCACCACAACCCTTCAACGCAGCCACGATTATTATTGGTTTCCTCTGTCAGTTTTAATGAAGACATAAGTGGGGGGAGCAGTCTCCACAGGTGTACTCCCAGCCCCCCTCAGACCCCGACCTTTGGCCAAGAAGGGGAGCAGGAGGGAGCCAGGGTCCTCAGTGGCAGGTTACAGCTGACCTCTTCCGTGTGAGGGAAAAGGCCACAGGACCCTGCTGGGGGCCAGCCCTGGGTGCTCCTCTCCCAAGTTCAAGGCAAGGAGGGGGAAGCAAGTGTCCAGCCCCACCCTGGAGCCCAGCCCTGGAGCAGAAGAGGCAAAGAGGAAACATCCCCGGGCCACCGGGAGAAGTGGGGGAGGGACCGAGTGGCCATCCTTGGGTACAGCTGTGGGGAGGAAGGGCCTGTCCCCAGCTCAGTCCTGACACGTACAACCAAGAGGGCCATTCGGGTGAGCCTGGAGTTGGGGGTGCTGTGGCGAGCCGGCGGCTGTCACCCCTCAACCAGAGGCAGCAGCTGCTACCCCTCTCCCTGACGTCCCGAGGGCTCCGTTTTGCCAGCTCCTGCCAGGTTCTGGGAGCTGCCAGAAATCCAGATGTTTCTATGGATGCTCCCAATCGCTTCAACATCAACCGCTTGTTTTTCAAAATTGAGCACACCTGGGAGCCAGATGGTGTGCCTTCAGGCCACAGCTGGCCCACGGGACGCCCCTTGGCCACGCCTGCCAGAGCACTCGCTGCTATCATCCTCTGGAGGGTGACCTCTCCGGGGTACAGCGGGGGACACAGAGGCCCGGCGAGGTCGGGGGGCTCTCCCCAGGGCCCACACAGCAGGTCCGACCCCAGAGGCACAGGCTTGGCAAGTGGAATTCAGACCTCAGGGCTGGCGTAGGGGTCAGGGAACCACCCGAGGCAGAAATCTTCACATGTTAACCTGAAACAACAAAGAGAGGTCCACGGGGAGGCGTGACAGAGGGGCGGTCCCTCTGCCCCCCACCCCCGACCATCCTGCATTCACAGAACAGCTACACACGCGGCCAGCAGGTAGGGGGCTCACCTGCACGGGCTGGGCTCCGCCAGGAGAAACATGACGTTAGTCTTGTTTCCCTCTTTTTACGTGTTTATGGTAAGACACTATCCACTTAGCAAATGCTTAAATGTATTATGCTGTAGTGTTAACTCTAGGCACCGTGGTGCAGAGCTCTCTAGAACGTATGCATTGTGCGTAACTAACAATAATAATAATGAAAATCATAAATAAGAGGATGGGAGGAAACTCTGGAGGTGCTGAACGCGCTTAGACATAGACTGGGGCGATGGTGTAGACATATCTCTTAACGCATCACGTTGTATGATTACATACATACAGCTGCTTTTTTAAAAATGTCAATTATACCTCAACAAAGTGGGTTAAAAAAAAAGTTTCCAGTTCCAGCCTCCCTCCCCCGGCCCTGTTTCTGGGCAAAGGTACCTGGTCCTGGGGAAGCCTTCAGAATCCTGGAACCCCACTGTGGTTTCCTAATCCCCTGGTCTGCCCACCCGGGGTCAAGGATAAATCAGGGTCGAACCAGTGAGTCACCAGATAAAGCCATGGGTCTCTCTCCAGCAGAAGGGGTGTGGGGCTCTGGGGTTCCACCCCGCTCATCAGGCACCTGCTTGCTCACAGGGAATCTCCCCGGGACCCTGCTCTGCCTTCTGGATAAGTCACTGACCCTCTCTGGACCTCAGTTTCCTCATCCATGAAATGGGTATTATGATAGTGTCCACCTCATAGGGCTGGTGTGAGGTTTAAAAGTTTTCAGTGGGGGGTGTGTACAGCTCAGTGGTAGAGAACATGCACGAGGTCCTGGGTTCAAGCCCCAGTAACTCCATTAAAGAAAGAGTTTATAGAGGTAAAGTGCTTAGAACAGGGTCTGGCAGAACCCCGAGATCCAGGTCAGCTGTGCAGTCACTTGGTATGAAGTGACCAGCTGTCCTCCTCCCCCAGTCGCTGCCCCATCTCCGGTGGGGGATGGACTTTGCACAGCTTACGATCTCAGGATAGCTTTCTTTCAGTCAGACCAGACAAGAGGCTTCAGGATCAGGCAGCTGATTAGATAACAGCGCCCTGGCCAAGCTCACAGCCTTTTGCCTAAGGTAGCAGGTTCTGTCCCTGCCCCCTCCCCTAAAGTCAAAGATCACAGCCCGGAACACAAAGACAAA